GATGGCAGAGGCCAAAGAGCCCCAAACCATGTAGATGACGCCTTTTGAGACATGGTTCAGGGGTGGTCTTGGCAGTCCTGGGGTAATGGTTGGACTTGATGACCTTAAAGGTCTTTTCCAACCTAACTGATTCTATGATTCGCTTTGACTAAAGCTGACCATGTCACACCACAGTCTCTTTCAATGAGTTTGTAAGTAGTAGAAAGCATGTTGAAGTGCAGAGAGATGAATATCCAAGTATTGTAATCACGTTATGAATAACTGTGGAACTAAATCCTATATTAGGGCATTTGAGCCAAAATAGAGGGGATACTTTTCATTAAATAAGTATATAAACCTACAAAATCAGAATTGCTTCCTGATTTGGGATAGTTCAGTTTTCCATATACATATTCTGAAACACTGCAAAGGGGTCTGATTTAGGGGAAATGGTGAGGATTACTCCTCTGAAAAATTGAGTGATGTAACAAGTGCAAGGATCAGGTGGAGAACAGTGTCCACAGTACAGCAAGCCTTGCCAGGGGAATTGTCCCTTACATCCTTTATCCTCTATTACTGCAGAAGAATATGTCTCTCTGCAGACACACTGAGTTATAATTGTTCTTGAACTTGAAATTGCGCTTGGAAAAAATAGCCTAAAAGAGGGTAAGGATGAAAAATGTTTTGGGTTTTTGAAGTTCAATGCTAGGTGGACAGCTGCGATTATTACTCCACTCTTAGCAGTCAACTATTGCTATATGCTAGACGTGATTAAGAAAAATATAAGTGCAGATGGAATGAAAAGAAATTCAGATTCTTTTTTTCCGTGATCTCATCTATTTTTTCTCATTATACTTGATCTTAATTTTGAGTAACATGATCAAGCTGGTCTGTGCTAAGACTTCTAAAGCACAAGGAATGCCTGTGCACTGGGATACATTCTGATCTTGCTATAGGCACTACAATAGCTTACTGTGTAATCGAGTGGAATATCTTGCAAAGAAAAGGATGCCATTGGGTAACACCAACCAGATCTCAAGAAAGAAGCTCAGGTAGGCTATCCTGCTCAGGTCCCTGTAGTCTCTCTCCACTGAACTCACAAGCTTCTTGTAAAGAAGGCCATTTCTCAACATCTGCAACATACTAACTCTGCTGTCAGTGCTCAATAAACAAATAATTAGAATAACAAATGGAATTGTTTCTAAATATAATGTTCCACAAAGCTAACTGAGATGCCATCTGCTTTGTAAGGTAGAAAGCTGGAGTCTATAAAAACTTTTGTATATGCTTAGTTTTACACCCTCAAGCAGCCCCAGGGACTGTGGAAACGCATAAAATTGAGCAGATATGTAAACATTTGCAGAGCTACAGCTCCATAATTGGCAATTTTGCAGCTACTGTACTTTTCAAGGATCTGGAAAGAAGTTTTATGGCAGAAGGTGTCTTGAGGGTCAACAGAAATAAGCTGAGGACAGCTCATCCCCACTTTTTTTCTAGTGCTTGGCTTAATTTGGATGTCTTCAAAACTCGCCTAGTTTGCGGTGGAAGGATGGCACATTCCCAGCACTTTGGCATTCAAAAGACAGCAGAACATATCTCACTCCTGCTCTGAGCTGGAAGTGAAAATAGAGTGTGAGGAATCCAAAAGGAAGTTGTTGAATGCATGGCAGATGTTGTTACATTTGGCCTAGCAGTGTTCCATGTGGCAGTCACACGACTGGTGATCTTACCCAGAGAGGCTAATAGGGATGGGCACTCCAATAAGAGGGTTTCCTTTCAAATACAAGTGGAACAAATGTTGTAAGTGAACCAATAACAGCAGAAATAACCAAAAAATTATTAAAATAGGGCAAAGGGAAGCTCAGAGCTAATAGCATGTGTCCTGGGTTCAGCAGTAGCAGTCATGTTTCTCCTTCGTGGTAGCTGGGGCAGTGCTGTGTTTTGATTTCCAGCCTGGGAATAGTGCTGGTGATACCGATGTTTTCGGTTGTTGCTAAGTGATGTTTACCCTGACCAAGGACTTCGTGAGTCTCATGCTCTGCCAGGGAGGAGGGGAAGCCGTGAGGAAGCAGAGATGGGGCGCCTGACTCAGGCTAGCCAAAGAGGTATTCCATACCACAGCACGTCATGCCCGGGGTGGGGGGTAACTGGGAGTTTCTGGGTGGGACTCGTTTCTTGGCCGGTGGTATTGTATTCTCTTCCCTTGTTATTTTCTCTTATCATCGTTGTCGTTGGTAGTAGCGGTGGTGATTTGTGTTGTACATTGGTTGCTGGACTGCTCTTGTCTCAACTCGTGGGAGTTTCACTCTTTCAATCCTCCTCCTCATTCCTAGCTGTCTGGCTAGGGTTTAAACCACGACAGCATGTCATCTGGGAAAACAGTACATCAACGGACAAGAAGAGATTGAAAAGCAAGAGAATAAGTTAATGGGAAAGTAGGCTGAAAGAGCCATCTTAAGACCACCCTATTTACCTCCATCCCATTTCCTTGAGCTTTGGCTGGCACCGTGTCTCCTACAGGCAAATGCAGAGTGAGGAAGGGATACACACCGGTACGAATCCTGGCTTTCTAGGCCATCATTTATAATGGGAGCTATGCCCGAGTAGAGGTGCATTACTCGCATATAGAAGATGATTTATGTGTTTTTTATGTAGCTGTTGGGCTTTAATTATTCACCTGATTATCAATAAAAAATAAGCCGTGAGCAGTACGGGATGTTAACATATCTAAAAGGAGCATGCAGCCACTTGTGTGAAACAAATGTGCATATGCATGGAGCCATTCCTGTCCTGTCAGTGCCAGGTATGAGGACAAATTCACAAGCAGGATTTAGCACATTTCTTTTTTCTTCCCTATTCTCTCCCCACCCCTTTTGCAAACAAAACCTTCCAACCTGTTCATCAGCTCTGTGATGGCAGACAAATGTTTCAGCAAAATATGTGCCAAATATCCATTGATATTGGCTGAAATTCAATATGATGAAATGAATTGATGCTGGCATCCCATTTGGTGCAATGCAATATCTGATCAATAGCAAGTAATTGGACATCATTTTGTGTAGGATAGAAAGCTGGGGCTGTTACATCACTCCAAGTTATGGATCATATTAATGACTGCCTATCTGTTTCATCAATGTAATTTCTTTTCATCAACATACTGTGGCATTTAGAACATTGGACATAAAGCCGCTATACTGTATTAACTCGAAATTAAAAGCTCTGCAGCCCAACAAAACGGAACGTTACCATGGGTGTGAATAGTATTCTCACATCGTAGCGCAAAATTATACAATTGGCACCTTTAACAAGCTGAGTGAAGTGACAAGGAAGGAAAAAAAAAAGAAAATATCAGATAGCAAGAACTCATCTGGACTGGGGGGGGGGGGGGATATGTACTCATACAAGCTTTACTTGCAGTTCCTCCTCTTTAATTGCAATCAATGCAAGACCAGCAGGGAGAGAAATACATGTTTCTTTTCAGCTTTTCCTAGTTCACAGGTGTTGGCAAGTTGTGAAACTACTGAGGACATATTAACAGGGCAGGTCTAGCAAAGGACAAGACGTGGTCTCTCCATCCCCCTTTCTAGCATGGAAATATGTGCACCTCTGTCAGTGATCACTGGGATCCTATTACTTACAAAAAGAGGCCTGAGGAAAGAGCATAGAGTATCCACCAGAGGTACATTTGTGGTACCATTGCCTTCTATCAGATGACTCTTTTTTCTTCCATCACATAGTAACAGGAAACCTTGCTTAACATTTGGCAGTGAAGGGAAGCTTTTAGGCAGGTCAGTCATAGAACTAGTGCCATTAGCTCTGCCACAGCCAGAGAAGACAGACAGCTTCAGTCAGACCATGGCACACTGCTCTGAGGGACCAAAGAGTTTTTTTGTGGGGTACACTTCAGACACCTGCTTAGGCACCTAACTGCACAGTCTGGCAGGCCAGCACTGAACCCAAACCTTATAACACAGACTGCTGTTTCCATTAAGATCATCACAGAAAACTGAAAGTAATCCTTTACTCATCAGTACTTTCACCCAGGCAAATCCCAGCTCTGTGCTGGGGGAAGACACAGGTATACACATCCTCCCACACCCTGGTTACTGTGGGAAATAAACTGGGAAGAGTAAAAAGGTGTTTAAACCTGACCACTGTTTTTCAGACCACAAGCACAGAAAGCCCAGTTTATATCTTGCCCAAGAGGCTGAATGATCCTTTCTAAGCCCGCAGATAAAGCTGGCAGAGAACAGCCTCATGTCTCCATTATTATGACACAGAAAAGCAACAGGACTGTGTCCTGCCTGAAGAGAGAACAAGAAGGCAAGTCAACAGCAGGAAAAAACTGACAACCAGATCTTATTCTCAGAGCACCTGCATTTCCCACTGATAGCAGAGCTGTGGGTGCCTGGCACTTCTTAAAACGTAACCAACTTATTCATCCTGTCTCAGGTGAGAGTATTTTCTCTGTTCTCTTTGGTGTGAAGCCTGGTGGGAAAGACAAGATGAGAACAGATAATAATAATAGTGTTTCAACATCTCCAGCTCATGGTTCTTGCCCATATTTGGTGATTGTTTTCTTTAAGCTCCAAACTCTGGGTCTGTGGGAATCTTAGCTTTCTCTTAGAAAAATGCTGTCTGCTCCTTTTGATGGGGTAGAAAGCCTGAAAACCTGTCATCCAACAGAACTGAAAAATTAGAAACCTAGAAGAAACCTAAGTGTGCATTACTGTTACACATCTGCCTTTTTAAGTGTATGTAGTGGACTTGCACAGCAAGGTTTGGGGGAGAAGGGGTTGGCTTTTGTAAGAAGCTGCTAGAAGCTTCCACTATGTCTGACAGAGCCCATGCCAGTTGGCAATGCTGGCCAAGGGACACCATCAGCGATGGTGATAGCACTTCTGGGATAACATATTTAAGAAAGGGGAAAAAAAACCTGAATTTTGCAGCTGGAGAGAGGAGAGTATGTGAGAGCAACAGCCTTGCAGACGCCAAGATCAGTGCAGAAGAAGGGGAGGAGGTGCTCCATGCACCAGAGCGGAAATTCCTCTGCAGCCCATAGAGGTTAATGGGGGAGCAGATCTCCACCTGCAGCCCATGCAGAACCACACACCAGAGCAGGCAGGTGCCCAGAGGAGACTGTGATCCCATGGGAAGCCTGCAATGTAGCAGGCTCCTGGTAGGACCTGTGGCCCCATGTCTAGAGGAGCCCACACTGCAGCAGGTTTGCTTCAGGTCCTGTGGGAGACCCACATTGGAGCAGCCTGCTCCTGAAGGACTGAACCTTGTGGAAGGGACACACTCTGGAGCAGAACAGGAAAATCTGCAGCCCCTGGGAAACACTCAGGTGGGACACGTTTATGGAGGACTGTCTTCTGTGGGAGGGGTCCCATGCTAGAGCAGGAGAAGAGTGCAAAGAGTCCACCTTGGTTTTGATTTTAGTTAAAGAATTTAGAACCTCGTGTTAATAGTGAGCTGAGCTATTAATTTTCTCTGCTCTCAGCGACAAACCTATACAGTATTGTATACAATAGGAACCGGTCTCCCATTGAAGACACACCAGCAATTTCCTCACTGGATTGGTTCATCAGACACTCTAAAACTACTTCAAGATCAGATGGTGCCTGTGCAGAGAAGAGGACAGGGCTGCAGGGGGGGAGTAGCACAGGGCTTTTTTTTTCTGTGGCCGCTTGGGAGGTTTAAGCATTACTGACATAATCTTCCAGTCTACTGTCTCCCCTCTCCCCATTTCTGCTGCTGACACTGGCTGTTTGTGCCTTTAATGGTACAGGCTAAATATGTAAATCTGTGCCTGCAGTTTGTGGGGTTTTTACATACTGTGCCATTGAAGCTTAAAGCGATCCCGCAGCTACTCCTCAGGGAATGCTCCTTCTGAGCTAAGTCCATTGCAGTCACTGTCACAGCACAAATCATCTGTGCACACACGTGCACTTACACACAGAGCTCTCTCTTAATTTTTCTACTTCCCATTGCTGCCAGTAGCACCAGTAGCTCTCTACTGATACCTATTGGTGCTTTATACAGGAGAGCTAACCAGCATATGGGCAAAGTGGGAGGGCCCCCCCACAAGCCCCATAAGAAGCCAAGTGTGATTGCTCCATAGCTCCACCTGCTTGGTTCAACCTCCCTTTCACCCTCTCCCTCTGCTTCCTTTAATCTAAACCAAGACCTATTTACAGTGCAAAGACATTTGCTCTTTATCTATTGAAAATACCCCCCATAACCCTTTTGTCTGCTCATGTCACTCAGATGATCAGCCACATCCTCTCTGCAGTGACAGCTCCCCAAGATGCACGTATTTTCTACTGCCCTGTTGTTTTATTCCTGCATTTTTAAGAAAGACTTATTTTAGCAGCTAATTATACTAACAGCCCTTCAAAGATAGGGCCAAAAAATGTAAAACTGCTTACAGAAAGGAAATTAAGACACTGGGTTATCTTAAAAGGATAGAGTTCACTACTAAATTCATTGGTGCTAGCCTGTGGGGGTGTCGTGGTTTAAACCCAGTCAGGTAATTCGTTCGCTCACTTCCCCCCCTTTCTTGCCCTCCCCCTGCTCCCGGAGGGACAGAGAGGAGAATCAAAAAGAATGCAACTCCCACGGGCTGAGATAAGAACAGTTTAGTAACTAAGGTATAACACAAATCACTACTGCTACCACCAATGATAACAATGATAAAGGAAATAACAAGGGAAGAGAATACATCATCTCACCACCAGCCAACCGATAACTCGCACCCCCCAGCCCGACCAAGCTCCAACCGATACCTCCTCCAACCCTGCAGTCTCCCAGCCCTTCCGGCTAACTCCCAGTTACCTCCTGGGCATGACGTGCTGTGGTATGGAATACCTCTTTGGTCAGTTTGGGTCAGGTGTCCTGTCTCTACTTCCTCCTGGCTTCCCCTCCTCCCTGGCAGAGCATGAGGCTCACAAAGTCCTTGGCCAAACCTAAACATCACTATCAGCTCTGTTCCCAAGCTGAAAGTCAAAACACTGCACTACACCAGCTACCAAGAAGGGGAAAAATGACTGCTACTGCTGAACCCAGGACAGGGGGTCACCTGACAGAAAAGGTCAAGATAATTATGAGGGGTGTGCTGAGTGCATTGTAACCCTGATGCATGAAAATCGGTTAGGTTTAAGTATTGTAGCAGTACCCAGGACAGATTAAAACTCTTTGAGAATCGCAAAAGCAAAGTAAATTTTAAGGTCCTGCCTATGGGATGGTGCTCAAATATTCTGCATGGGGAGCACAACCTGCAGCTCAGGAGCAAGAATCTGGTGCCTGGAGAACCCTTCCTCATTTCACAGTGGATTTACTGAGGAGCAGGTGGGTAGCTGTGCTGCTTTGTGCTCAGCTCCTCACGTACAGATGCCACGATTGTTTCATCCCACCAAATTCTTGGACACCTAAGATTAGATGTCACTATGTCAGACTACGGTGTTTGTGCATTACTGTCATTATCAGTACACAAAATGAGGTTTACATACTGAATAATGATACTTATACAGCACTCATCATCAAGGTATTTGAGCTTCCTACAAAACCAGACATAAAGCATCCCCCTTTTTCCTCAACAACCAGCTAAACCATTTTCACAGACATATCGAGAACTCAGACACTCCTGTAATTATTTCCATGCTGCCTCTGTCATTCCTTGGTCTTCTACAGGAGCACAATTCACTTCCCCTGGTATTAATGAGTAATAAATAATTCATACAAAAAATAAAAAAGACACCTAACAAAAGAGACATGGGCATACTTCAGGTGGCTACTGCATTATGCAGTCTGTGATGTCGTTTTCTATGGTAAAGCCCTGTAGAATTGAAGAGACAATGATAACCTTTTCTTACATTTTGAAGATCCTATAGAACAGAATACAATTAACATCTTTGTCAAATAATATAATCCGGTAGGATGCCTCAAACAGGTTGCAGGAGACAGCATTCTATTTCAATTCCAGAAGAGAGGACTGTTACACTTCTATAGACTCCTACAGGTTTTATCTCTCTTAACTTCTGCAAGACTTTCCCAGGGGGGTTTGCACATGAGGTAAGAATAGTGGGAGGAAAAATTACTGGAGAGAGACAGGAAAATGTCTGGCCTAAATTTACTATCAAGAGCTGTCTTGGGAGTCTTAAACATAGTGGAACTATTCAGCTCCATGATAAAGGGGTCAGGTATGTTCAAAAGAAGGCTAATGAGGATAAAAACAGAAACAATAGGATATGTAATTAAAATGCTTTATCTGCCTAATAGTGATAGGCGAAGTACAAAGTCCCGGGCTGCAGCAGCAGCCCCTCACCTGCAGTAGTGGCAGCAACCAACTGGACAGTTGGTGGAGGTGCCAGACTGGTGCTCTTCATAGCCTGTGAAAAGGCCTTTTACCCAGGGGGGTCAGAGAAGGCATCTGGTCCTTACATGACAGACAAGGTGAATTATTTTGAGCACAGAATGGATCAGACATCCTTGATCAGTTGGCATGCGTCTATCCAATGTATATGGCACCTTTCAGTTGTGTTCTACACGAAAGAACTGCACAGTAGCCTACCATGAACACTCTCCATACTCCCTTTTCACTCAATTGCCTCCTCACACCAGTCCTGTTTTTAGTGTATCCCTACATAAAAGGTAAGACTCGGTTTTGAGGTGTTTTTTTTTGTGGCTGCTCAGCTTTGGTGTTGTTTTTCCGAGAGTAGCAGAAAGATATAGAAAATACTTACTTTTTGTTGCTCATTCATCTATAAGCTGATGTTTAAGGGAATTGACCATGATCTAAGCTCTAAGAGGGATCCTGCATTGGTGGGAAGAGGGGACTTCAATGTGGTTAGGCAAGAGGGGACACTGAATGGTTGTTTGGTGTTGGAACACAAATACTGTTTATGTTCTGTTAGACAAACACAAAAGTTAAAAACAATCACCTGAAACACACAACTCTGAGACTCCAGGCTCAAACACGCAGTTAGGAGATGTCAGAAACGTGTGACCTTAATTAACCCTCCTGTGTGCACGCATTCTCTAATTGCATGAGCATATATTATTTCTCCCCAGAGAGCCTGTTTCTCACAATGCAGGGGACAGAAAAGAACCACTGCACAAGAAACTGTTTAACGTTGTTCTTTCTACTCTCTGCTTGTGTGGTCCCAGGCTTATTTGCTGAACACTATTCACTTCATGCTGAAGGTAGGATTACTCATCTTATCACAGACATTCTTGTCACATTCCTAAGTTCAGCAGCTGTGGACCTCACATAAATTAAAACACTGTTTTCATCTGTGGAAAAGGAGAGCTTGGCATTGCCCGCATTTAGCTGAGGAGATTGCCGAGGAACAATTTCTATGAGAATTTCTCCCTCTGAAATGGTTAATAAAGCAAATGAAATATGGTTTTTGCTGTGAATAGAGCTGTTCAGTTTTAATAATAAGTGGTGCTACTGATACTGCATAAATTTTGCATTTTCAGCCTAGCCCATGTAAGTGCAGGTACCCTAGTTGTTCATAAGAATAATTAACCCATTTTCAGCATCCTATCAACTGATGAACCCCAACAGCAGCCTCACTTTACTCAAGACTTCAGCTAACCTAGAATGAAGTCCTTTGCACCAAGGTTGACTTCCTTTAACTTTCGTTACCTAGTTCCTTGCTACACTAACTAGACTCATTTGTCTTCTTCAGTCTGTCCCAACAAAATTTTCATCGGCTAACTTCTATTTTAGATACGTCTTTCACAAAGGGAATATTTTTTCCCCTTTAATTTTAAAACCCAACAGTTTTTAGAAACACCTGTCACTGTTCCCATCTCTCCAATCAGTGAGCCGTGTGGGTGTCTCTCTCAGTGGAAGCTGACAATTTGATGATACTTCATCAGTGTAGGACTCCTGCTGAGAAGTAGATTGAGACAAAGAAAATGCCTCTTATCATTGGAACAAATAAGAAATCAGATTTTCTAAATTACTGTTAGGTAAGTTGTATTTCTTTCTTCTTTTTTTTGGAAGTCTGCATGTGTGTGTATTGATATTAACATTGGCCAGTTCATTCCAACTTCTCTCTCACAACCACGCAAGCACTAATGCCACCAGCAAAATGAGTCCTCAGAAAGAACCACCAGGCTGGGATTCAAGAGCAGTACTAAAATACTGGCCTCACCAGAGTTTTCCTGCAGACCTCAGGTAATGTTTCTTTAAGGTCTGAATTCACTGAAGAATACAAGCCTGGAGCAACAATTCTTTAATCAGAAAGTTTATCTTGATCCTGATGGTATGTGTGCTCTGATTTGTAATTGCAAGGCTGTCTACATTATCAGGAAGGACAGCTATACTTAAAAAAAAAATTAAAGATGGCCTTAAATTCTACAAAAAAGCATGCGTTAGTACTGGAAAGCAGGGAATGTAAGAATACAGGGCAAGAGTTAGGGAGGGAGTGGAAATCCAGCTCCCCTGAAATCAGTTGGAGATGACAAATCAAGGGGGACCTTCCCACTTGATCTTTGGAATGGAATGCCCTATTGCCTCCTAGATTGCTCACAGTAAAGAAGATCACAGCATCATTCTGCAGGTTGACAGAATATTCAGTACATGAGTGGCTGGCGACAAAATGCCCAAACTCAGGCCACATTAAGAATAAGTAGTTGATAGAAATCATTGCTGGAAATCCTCATCATTCAGTGTGTTGGAGCTCCCTTTCCTTGTATTACAGATAACTGGTGTCCCTTTGAAGTTGCATGACTGAGAGATTCAAGATCACCTGCAGCCATCATCTAGACAAGGAGTAAGAAAGACGAGTGGTAGGGGTTAGTCATATACAGCGCTGCATGGTTACAGAAAGCATTGCAAGAGTTCTCTTAGGATGATATGAGTGCTTTTTGCACTCCTACACATGAGGGATGAACTGGGCCCGGTTCCTCTTTCCTAGTAGGAGAGTTTCTGTACCTTTGGTCAGGCACTGGGGAGCCCTGTACAATAACAAAGACTAAGCCAGTATATTTGCAGGCAAGAAAGGCTGCCTGTTTGGGAATTTAGATACCACTGGAGCTAAGGGGAGTCCAAACAGTATCAGGAACGTCACCTGCCTATTTCTGGCCAGGTTTCCCGAGACTTTCAAAATCATGTTGCAGACAGGATGTAAAAGTCTTCCTCCTCTAAATGCATCCTCCCCCTTTCTTCCTTTCCTGTTTCTTCATGGCCCAGGGACTGTTCTCTCCTGATGTCCACAATCATTTCAACAAACTCAAGTAAAGATAAAGTTTTCTCCTGGACAGAATCCTGTGTATGCTGCACTTCTTCTGTAGGCAGATGGTCTCTCAGGGGACCATGAATGAACAGTGTAGCACTATCAACATTAGTTCTGGTGCATGGAAGAAATGTGCCCTCCATCTTCATGATGTGGTGCCTGGATCTTGCTGACCCATAACACACCAATCTCTTGCATTTTTCTGTAGCTTTGCTGTACTCTCTTCAGTTCCTCCCTTGGATGCCAAGTCCTGAATAGCCCACAGTACAAGTTACAGCTTGCAATGTCCAACTGACTTTTACTGTCATCAACGAACTGATATTTGTTTCATGTAGTGAAATGAATGCCTCTCCTAGCTGTTTGGAAAGCAAATCTCTCTTTACCCTCCAGCTGGTATTTGCTGTACTTGAGTGAGCCTGGTAAAATTCTTGGGTTATAATTTCATGCTGCTGTGTTTGGGCAGAACTAACAAGATTTCTTAAGGCCTCCTTGAGTTTTTTAAGCCAAGCAACTGCTCTTTTCCTTGATGGAGCTCTCCACGGCCTTAACAGCATTGCACACACAGATCTTCAAACAGGGACAGCAAGCAAACAGTGTTATTACCTGCAACAACAGGTTCTGCTGAGCATAATGATACACTGAGATAGGACCTTACTGAACTTTCTGAAGTTCCCCACAACACAGTCATATTGCACCTTTTATGTCTGTGCCGAGGTTCACCCTGGCTGGACACAAGGTGCCACCAAAGGTGCTCTGTCACTGCTCTCCTCAGCAGGACAGTGGGGAGAAAATGTAACAGAAGGCTTTTGGGTTAAGGACAGGGAGAAATCACTCACCAATCAGTACCATGGACAAATCATTTAATAATTTTTCATTTAGGAAGTATAATGACTGCATACATGAACCAGCATCAATATTTATGCTAAGATATGCATTGTTTGTATATGAAACATTATACATATACATATCTTAATTGAGATGATTTCCTTTTGAAGAACTCTTTCTGGAAATGAGTACAGCCTGCTGGGCATTCCAGTTGTTGAATGAAAAACATGCTAGGAGACCACCACAACATTGGCCAACGTTTAACAACTTGCTGTACCTCCAGAGTATAACTGACAGCTATTCTAGAGAGCCCACTGGTGCCATATATGAAAGTAAATCATGCTTCGATTATTCCATACTATAGCTCACTGCAGCACAGGGAACATGCTTTCCCAGCAGCTGTTATCAGCTTACTTGGAATTCTTGACCAATATCATTGAAAGCCCAATAATGATAACAAAGGCTACAAATTATTTCCACAGTATGTTAAAGTTAAGACAGTGAGCTGTAAAATAAAGAGAAATCTATTAGATAGACCTGTCTCAAAGTCACTTTTTCCTTTAGAAATCATGATCTACACAGTTTCATAAATCGATGAAAGGATTTTGACCATTAAACTTAATTGATACTGAATTTAAAGGCATGAAATTAAATCATTTTGCCATTTTCTTTCACAATTAGTTTTTGGCATTACATTCCTCCCCATCACTGTATGAAGCAAAAATATTGCAAGCACTGAGGAGGTAAGATTAACATATACAAAAGATGAAGCACTGCAAGAAGCGACATCTGGGGCAATGCAAAAAGATGTTTCAAGGACTGTAAACAGGCAGAAGCAAAAACAGAAAATAAAACCTGACTTTTAAGTAAAATTAGCAACAACTTGGATTTATATAGTGTTCCATATGTTCTAGATGAATAACACCCAAGGCGTTTTAGATTGAAGTAAGGTAAAAAGCACGCTTGAGGTGGGAAAGTAAGAAAATAATTAAATTTCTTGAAAATGCTTTCAGCTTTGGGTAGGTGTGATTCTTCCTTTTACATGGCTGGTGGTAACAGTGCTGAGGTGCTGTTGGTTTACATAATTGGCTTTGGTTGGGAGCCATGCTGCAGTGAAAGAGCAAAGACTACTTGTAGTTGAAGCGCTCATTCTATTTATTTATTTTTTTTATTTTTAATGTAATGCTGCAGCAGAGTTCTGATTCCTTAAAAAAAAAAAAAAATCTATCTAGAAAGAGTGAAAACATTCAGCTGTTCGGAAATGCCATAGAGCCACTTATGGAAGAAAACAGGCCTTCCAGGGAGAGAGAAGGAAGAACTGTAAAGCTTGGATAGCTTTTTTTCCCCTGGATTGTAAAATGGTTCACATGTGCAGAAGAGTAAACTGAGGAAATGGTTCTTTCTGGTTGTGTCTAAGTGGATGTCTCCAGCTCTTCATAAAAGTTAGAACAACTTTCTTGCATAATCTATAACAACGGACTGTCAGCAACAGAAGTAAATATGGCACAAACAGCTGTCTAACTGTCTTAAGCATGAAACACAGACACAAACGAGCCATGGTTTGTCTTTTTGCAGAATCAGGAGTTGCATGTAGTACAAAATGGAGTCTTTCCTCCCACCAAGCATAGATCCCCACATAAACCAAGGTTTGCTTACCAGAGATGTACATGTACGTATGCTATCCCTATCCCATTTCTTCTGAAGAAAAGTGCCACCAATGCTTGAGCCACTCTTTCCCACCATGGTTTTGCATTTTTCATAGGAGAAAAGCTCAGCAAGCTGCAATTCGTTTGGGCCATCACTGGTAAACTGCAGGTGGGTAAGTATTTTGGATGTGGATATTTTTCTAGACAGACGCTTTCATTACTGTTGCTGCTATGAAGCCTCCCCATGCTCTGACATAAAAGCCATGGCCAGATACTGGGCCACTAGTCCTGGAGGCCTATATGGCTGTAACTTCAAACACATGCCTTGGAATAAGATTTAGATTTGTCAGACTGTTGTGAGATTCTCAGAACAGTGAAACAGGCAACCAATTCACTTGCTGGCTACAGGCCAACAGTAGGAGTTTTACAACTTACTAAAGCAGTCATCATTTTTATCATCACTTGGATTTATCAGCTGTATTATCCTAAAAGCCTCTATCAGAATCAGGGTCTTAGTTTTTTATAGACAGCCACAAGATGCAGATCATGTTTCAAAGAGATAAAGAGTTATGCTTGAAAGAGGTTATCATAGAATGACTTCTGTCTTGGAAAACAGCATCAATAGCCAGTACTCAGTCTGTCCAGCTGGCTCAAGGGCACTTCCTGATTTGGGGGGAAAAAGCTTGCCAGCTTTTGAAATTAATATATTATTATTACTCGTATTTTGATTTTTAATCCTTCACTATGTGAAGCATGAACCTCATCAAAAAGGAAACCAGAAGGGTGCACATATACTGCCAAAAGTCTGCTAGAAAAGGCTTCTTGGCTAAAATTTTCAAAGCTGCTTGAAAGGGTTTCCTGCTGACTTCAGTCCTGTAAATCCGTCCTTCATTGCATGAGGATAAAGGAGAGGCTACTCATCAACATCTATTTAGCTTTATAGTCTGCTTAAGATTTCCCTTTGAACTGGGGGATCTTACACCCAGAGCTTCCTTTTTAGTGATGACCCAGTCTGCTGACTGTGCCTTTACGTAAGTGAGCGAGGACAAAAAAGCCCTAACCATAGCCTTCCGTATAATGGAGACCTACAGGTTGCCACAATCCCTGAAGCTGATCTGATTGACTTCGCTGTGCACCAGCAAATAATCCAGCTTTTAATGTCAAGGAAAAATAATTCGCCATCAGTAGCTATCAGTGGAATGGGAACAAAAGGTGATTGAACTGAGTTTTACTACCTCATATACAGTATTCAACAGAGGAAGTTTCATAATAATAATAATCTAGTTTAGGTCAGTAAGGCAGTGATTTTGTGCTGTTTATGGTTATTCAACATGTGGAGCAGATACAAGGTCGGTCAGAGCAAAGTTTTTGGTATGAACTGGCAGACTTACAATTTTCTGTTTTACCTCCGCAAAGTAGTTCTACTGAGACTTATATGCTAAATATTTCCACCAACACTTCTGGAAATTACTGCTAAATTATTAGTTCTAATTAGGACGTAAATGATGCCAAAAGTTTGTTCCTCAGGGCCGTGAAAAGTTAAGAGGAAGGCAGTCTTGGAAAGATCACCACAGATGAACAAAGTACATGAGAAAGTGGTAGCTCAGATTTATGTTACAATCTTACTTTTACTTCATTAATGAAGTCCTAGGAAACACATGAGAATCCTGTTCTAGTTCCCATCAACTTCTCTGGGCAGTTTATCAGAATCCTAAGGCAGGGCATCCTTGTGACGCCCTGCTGAAAACAGAATGGGACTCCTCTAATAATAAAGAGCCAAAAGCAAGGACACATTAAAATCAGCCGTGAGACTATTAAAGATGCAGCCAAAATTGCCACAAAACAATGCAAGCACAATTTCCAGTAAGCCATATTAAATCGAAGACCATAACATCTTCTTAGGAATATAAACCCCAAGATACCTGCTCTTTAAGCTATCCAAAAGAGAAGCAGCGGTAGAGTTTCTCACAAAGAGTCAACAGCTGACAAAAAGGTAACTTCACTAACGCATAGTGGGCTACCACATACACAGTGTCCTATAAAATGGAAACTGAAAGTCTCTTTTTGTCTTAAGGGCACTCAGCATTGTAAGTATCCCTAGTATTCATTATCTTTGTTTTCTGGTTAACTCAGAGACTGTTTCCTAAAGTTCTGTCTTTACTAGAGCATGCTGTTTCCATCACTGCAACCAGCTTTTTCTTTGCTGTTCTCCTGTATGGTAAGTAAGGATAAAACACAGAAACATTCTTTCTTTCTTCTATGTTCACTGTGACTTTGACTGTCAACTTCCAGTTACAGTATGTAACCCAGAACAACAGAAATACATTCTCCTGGTCTCTACTCCATTCCTCGGGTTTTTCCATTGCACTTACCTGAGCCATGGGAATAGTTGTGGAGAAATGGAGATGACTTGTGCTCTTCAACTTCTGTTCTAGCCAGCAACACACTGGCAGTAATTTCTTTCTCCTGTGGAGATAAAGAGAGATAATTAAGATAAACTAGACCTGCTGTTGTGCTCCCTGCTGGGAAGTATTAAGAAGAAAAACATGCTGGCCTTTCAAAAGGCTTTGAGGTACAGATCAGCTTTACTGTTTGGAGATGGAGCAGAGGCTTTTGATGAATTTTACTTTGGAGGATGCAACAAAATTATTTTACCTTTTTTTTTCCCTTTTGTGCAGGTCTCAGTGATTGGACTTAATGCTGTGCTTACAACTTGATACTTGTATGCTGAAACCGGGGGTCAGGGAAATGCTATTTTAACACCTGTGGCAGTAACAAATGCTACATTATGTTAAACGTATTTGAGAAGATTAGGTAGTGTAAAACTTCTTTCCATTTTCCGAACTTGTTCCTTGGGGGTGTGATAATGCAGCATTTTAAAATACTTAACAATTTGCATTTATATAAAAAAAGAGGAAAAGCATGTACAAAGGAAAACACAAACATGTTTGGAATGCCTACTGCCAGCAACATCTTGGCATTTGCCAGTACTTAAAGGTTATGTCTGTCATGTTTAGATGTGGCATAAAGTCTTTCACCCTTTCCCAAGTAATTGGACATCGTACTGATAGACAAAATTGAATGTGTCATGAACAGCTCTCCTATAGATTTACAGGACTTATTGACAGGCAGTGCTTGGAGAGAAGGCCTAATTTTATGCATGAACATGTCATGCTGGAATAATTACACAACTGCTTGCTTTCCTTCTGCAGTACATTGTGAAAACCCATGATGGTTCCTGGGTGTTCATACCTTCTTCTGCATTTGCATAAACATAACTGCTGTACTTAACAAAGGGCAATAAATTATTGAGGTGAATGCCACGTATAACCAAAAATAAAGATCCAAATAATTGTATATATATAAAATGTCTTGCTCTTAGGGAGTATGAAAGGCACTTGAGCCTACACAGCAGCATACAGCAGCAAATGCAAAACTGGCTCTCACTGGGTAATCTATGGTCACTGTTTCCTTCTCCTAATTTGTTGGCTGACTGACAGATGTGTGTAAAAACTGGGCATTTTGCCTCTGGTAAGCCTGACATGTTTGGGGGATTTTGGGGGGTGTTTGTGTTTTGTTGCTTTTCTTTTTAGTTCATGGCAAGTTTAACCAGTGTGAAATATCCCATCTTCGTCTAAGATTAGAAATCCTTCTAGATCATTGCTGAAAATCATTGACAGCTGACTATAATCTTGCTGTATGGGTAAGGGAAGGAAAATATTAGTATAGGGAGCACATCTCTTGAGCTGAAAATAGCTGGATGCTGGGAGGCTGGTATTAGGGGGATGAAGGAGTGTACTTATGCTTTCTCTGTTCCCATTCTCTCTAGGCATCTGTTCACTGTCACAGTTTTATGTATTTTGTTGGTTGGCTTTGTTGTTTGGTTTTTTCTTTTCTTTTTTTTTTCTTAACTGATACACAATGTTCACACCTATATTTCACATTTGGGAATGCATGTTTCAAACAACAATACAAAAAACATCCACGAAGAATGTATCATCTCTGAAAAAAACTGACAACATTCTCACTAATTTCATTTCTAAATACAAAACTGACTGCCATATTGCTGCTTCTGTTTCTGTGTTAAGAGAAGTTCAATTTTTTGTGTGAGTGGCTTTAATGGCAGTCTCCCTATTTTAATTTCTTTGTCATTTAGGATTCTTAAGCTTGCAAACCTCCTAAAGAAAGATGCAGTGAGTGCACAGCTGGCTCATGACATTCAGTTTAGGACAAAGCTAAAAGAGCGTCTGGATCATTTATGTCAAAGCACAAGCACTTGAGTTTCTGTGTGCATAGGTCACATCAGGTCCACAACCCATTCTGCCTCTGTGGCTGCTGAGGCCACCATGCTGTTGGCCACCTCTGTCTCCCACTGGGGAGGTGGAAGTCTCTGTTGTTAATTTCTAGCTGTCATGTGATATCAGTTGCTTGTTTACAGAAACTTACACTACAGTGAGCCCCCTGGCTCTTTGACTTGGGAAGAACAAATGCTTTTGCTAATTAGGACTTACCGGGGCAAATTCCCTTCCTTCACCCTCTTCACAAGCAGGTGTATCCAATTGGTGCTCATGGATCTAATTGGTGCTCATGGAGAGGTTTTCTTCTCCTACTGGGCTTTCTGCTGATATGTTTATTTCTTTTCCTCAGTGAAGGCTTCTTCCCTCCTGTTGCTGAGTGGGCAGCATGTTGCATGGTTGTTTTGCTATGTGGCCTGTGTCTGTCGCTAGCTTTAGTATGGGTCCTTCACAAGGCTGCATCTGACTGAAGTGTACTCAACGGACCTTTAGGCTGGACACAGTTTCCAACCAAGGAGGAGCAGGCAAGCCTCCAAAACAAGATGGAATTGCTTGCTCTGGGTAATCACTTGATGTCCTTTCAGTATTCTGCCATGTGAGGCATTCGTAGTAGCGTGAGCAAAACAGAGTTATGTTTGTTCCCTCCTTTTCCATTAATTTTGAAACATTGCATCCACTTACCATATATCCATTTTTTTTTCTTTTCCTATTTGCTTTTACTCAACACCACCCAGACCATACCCATTTTTGATGGAAGCTTAAATAAATGTTGCTAGTTGATGACTATCAATTCTGCACAAATGCATGCATAAGAAGATAAGTTTTCTCAAAGCTGTTTGCTTAGGGGTAGATGAATGCTCTAATGGTGTGTTTATTGAAAGGTGATTTATCTGTTGCTATTACTGCCCTTTAGGGCTGGTGGTATTATATTAGTAGGTTTGATCTTTGCCAACACCTGGATCCCTCTTTGCAATTAGGAAAGTGATACGCTGTGTCTGTCATTCTGCTTCTCACCCCTCCTCCTCCGCTCCTCCTAAACAAAAGGTGGAGAGTAGCAAATCTCATCCTAAAAGCCAAAAAAGGAATAATGATAATCAGTACTTGCTCCTGGATTTAAAGGGAAAGATTAATTGCTCAAATAGAATGCAAGAGAACTTTCCTTATGTCAACAAATAATTCATGATGTGTATATGGGCAACCAGCAACTCTATTATTGCAGTAGTATGACAAATATTGTGAAGGGGACAGCAAATGGGACGTATCATTCTACTGTCTTGACAAAGATTATAACAAGAATGGGAAACAGGACAAATGTAACTCATTCTGGAGACAGTCCCAGAGCTGTAAACTCGTTTGTTCTTCAGCATGAATTATACAGCAATACAGAAGATGCGAATGTGATTTTCACCATGTTGTATATTTTAATCACTTTTCTTTGCTACTAAACAAATAACTCATTGTGAAATGTGGATAGATGGGGAATATTAGTTTTTTAACTATGAACTAAATGAAGAGAAGAAGGCTGTAATGTACGAGTTGTGCCAGTTACACTAGAATTTGATAAGGGTCAAATCCAGCTTTGGTTTAAACAAATGTAATTCCTGCAGATTTCTGAGAATTGCCTGCCATGTCCCAGAGTGGAGCTGGACCCATGCCCTTGCCTTCCTGAGCTTGAGACTCTTGGAGACCATTCCACAGCTGGAACCCACAAAAGAAGCTATGGTGGAAAAAATTATGGTTACTAAGTCCCACTGGACCTAGTTCTTCTTGGCAAAAACAGAAGGCAGCTTGACTGTTGTTTATGCCAACTGATTTGGATGCTTTTTGGTGTGGAAATGCAACACTTGAAAATGCCCAATGAGTTTCATCCAAGGCTAGAATCCTTAAGTAATCTATTCCATGGTAGAAGGCAGCTAGGGAGCTCCCTAAGGTGCCAGTGGTTTTCAAGAGCTTGACTTTTGGGTAGGGGGACATTTTTGAAACTCTGTATTAAAGAGAGGAAGAACTAGCTATTAATTTGTGTGCTAAGTTATTTTCAGAGTAGCTTACTGTCTCTCTAAAACCTCTCTGTGCCAAATCCCTTAGGTTTATTCTGCATGTTTAACTTGGTATTCTGCATCAGAATGCATTTCCTCTTCTTCTGAGAGGCAACCTGAATTTAGTAAATGGAATTTCCATGTTCCAGGTGGCTAGAGGGCTTGAAATGACAAATGATCCTTCATGAAGGTAGATGAGAATATCAGGGCTCCCCTGGTAGGCAAGCAATCATAGCATATATGGGAATGCAGGAGGCAAAGTTTTGATTTTGATCCTTAAGTGTGCTGTGATGGCAATGAAAGCCATGGAGTGGTTTGTGTGAATCACAAATGAGTGCATGTGAGCAATGGGCAAACAATCTGGGCTCTTTGTCTGAATGTAGGACATCAATGTAGGTTTAGAGCACAGAGTTGCCTTTGAAAACCTAAAGAACTAAAAACCAGTTCTGTCTGTTCTGCAGGACTGGGGACAAAACACACCAAGTCTTTGTTTTACCTGTGGTTCAAACCCGATTTAAGTTTTAGGATCAGATTTTCGGAATCAATTAAACATACTTGTGTGCTATGTGCCAGCATTTCTGCACAAATCAGGCTATGCTGTAAACTACTTCAGATGGGGCATACAGTTTCCCCTACCTGGCTCAAGCTCCTGGCCTCCCTGGAGTGCTATGAGGATTAACTGCTGTAAAGTGTTTCATTCTTGCTGCAGTGATTTCTGCCATGCTTGGTGGGAGCTGGAGGACAACAGAAGTCTTTGGTGTGACACTGAATCATTATTTTATCAGGAGGTAGGAGGCCTTTTAAATGGACATGCTCAAGTTCTGCTGGAGATCCGAAGTTACACTTTGATTTCATCAGTTTTCTGAGAGAGCTGCTGAGATTAGGCCAGCAAAGCAAAGATGAGAATGACTTTTGCTTTCAAGTTGAAAGGCTGGGGGAGACAATGGAATGCGTTAAGATTGGTCATCTTCTGCGGAGTACAAGAGACTATTATTTTTGGTTGTATTTTGAATTAATAGGAAAGATTTAGGTTAGCAGGAATGCTTCATTAGACACAAATTTTCTATTAAACTTCCCTTTCAGGAAAAGAAGGCATGGACCATGTTCAGAGTCTGAAACACCATGATAAGCTTAG